CTCTCTCTCTTCTCTTTCAGTTCTCTGTCTCTCTCTTTTAATAATGAATTTAAATAAATGTGATAATTCATTCAAATAAAAGCAATCCGATGGCTCTACTTTATTTAAAGCGGACGGAGTGCTAGAACTAACGAGCCGTAACTTAAGAACATAACCGTCATTTTTACACGTCTCTTGAAAAATTACATTGTAAACATCAGTTACAGCTTTAACTTCTTATTAACTTGGCAAATAACCGAGGTATAAGCGGGATAATCCACGGCTAGCCATGCATTAAAGAATTTTAATGCACGACCTAGAGGCAGGTCGACCTCCGCTTTGCCGCGGGTGGTTCTTCGCCTCTACGTCGTGCATTAAAATCCTTTAATGCATGGCTAGCCGTGGATTATCCCTTACTTGTCCAAGTAAAGCACTCAAAAATATATTTGTTGAATAATTTCACAAACCACAATCTTAAAGTCACCTGGAAGCAATTGATTTCAGCAAAATAAATATCTGAAGCAGGAGGAAGACAAAATGCAGCATTTCACACTTACTTGTTGAAGGAACATCGAGGTGACGTTTTGTTCATAATGATTGTCTTCTTTTGCAGCAATCTAGATCTGATTACTGCTGTCTTGATAGACCCTCCAAAGTCTTACCCAAAGTTCACATTCCCATACATTTAATATATTTGTGGCAGAGAAAGAGCTTTTTTTAATTTCCACAGCACATAGAGGAAGATATATTGATCTGTTGATGGGTCACCGTGATTTTGTCAAGTAAGACATGTTCCTTAATCAACATATTGTGTTGGTCCCAGAACCCTAGTCTTAACCCTATCCCTATCCTTACCCATAACTTACCTCTAAAAGCAGAGGGAAATGATAGATGAATAATACTGATGTAGAAGCACCTAACCCTAAACTTGACATAAAATAAAAACTTTTCCCTCAAATCTGGTTTAATGGAATGTTGTTCCAGGATCAGCAACGATGGTTATGCAGGAACATGTACAGGTGAAATCACGTTTACCGGGGTCGATGTGTGTGTGGATTTGAGTTAAGGTGGTTTTGAACATAACTAAGCTTCAGATACTAGAAATAGACCACCAAGTCAGTGACAGCACCAGATCGTCGAATTCAAAATAGGTCTGTAAAATACCAAGGGACTGCGTGTGCTCTTCAGGAGGAAACTGGGATTACAAAGGCTTAAGCGATTTCAAAGCACTGTGGTGAGTGCACCAAATACACAAGTGTGAGGAAATGCTAACTTGTAGGGTGCTTCAAACGCTACAGCATCTCGAGTGTTGCAAAAGCTTCTCAAAGCCAAGAACATCCAGTCAACGGCTGTCTTGTCATCAGAAATAGGTTTTTACTGAAAAAGCAAGATGGCTAACCTAGATCTGCTGAGCAAAAACAGGCAAGTAAACAAGCTGATTGTTATAACCTATTGCGACAGCTGCATGTGCACCATACAAGACTTGAGTTTACAGAATACTTTGATGAAAAATGAATTCGATTTTAAGGTTAATGTGAGAGTGCAACCTTAAAAGTTCACAATAAGGTCAGTTGCTTTCATGTATCATGATATAGGCCTAGCTAGCATGTGGACATCTGGGATAAGGACATCGGAATGCTTTGTCCTGTGTATTACATGCATGGTTACTCATGAAATAAATGGATATGTGAACATTAAATCTTGATAGGATTTTTTAAAACAATTGTGCCTATATATTAAATTAAAGAAAAACTAAAGAAAAATATGGTCCATTACAGCATACAAAACACATTTTCACTATAATCGATTACTATGATGCTATGACACCAGTCCGTGGTGTAAGGGGCCATTCACACAGAACACATTTTTTATTTTCTGCATTTAGTTTCCAATTTCTTTTTTACTTTTATTTATTTATTCTTTCAATTATTCTTATTTATGCATTCATTTATATTTACTAATTCCTACATGTATTACATATTTCCAGATTAATTTATGAATAAATATAAAAATAAATGAAAGAATAAATAAAGCTAAAAAGAACAATAAGAAATGCAAAAATAAATACAAAAAAGGAAAAACAGTAATACAAAAATAAAGTCAGGATTATATATATATTTGTCTTATCAGGACGTTAATTCCTTTATTTGTTTTCCAATTGTTACATTAATCTATTTATTTCTGCAGTTTTGGTCCTCCATATTTCAGAACACTGTGTCATGCACGAGATGTTGTAAAACACGTGGGAGCAACAGTCAAAAAAAACAACCAGCGTATAGGGGAACGAGGGAAATGAAAATATGTATCTGAATATGTATAATATGTATGTTTATACACATAATGAAAATATTTATATTGCTGTATATATTATTAATGTCATATTATGAATACTTCATTATAATCTCTATTATTATTACTGGTAATGATGATGGTAGTAGAAACAATAGTATTATCATTCCTGTTATTATTATTACCGACATAATTATGAAATCATTTTATGTAGGCTACCCGAATGTTTAGTTTCATTATTATTATTCTATAGATTTTATGAGTACTGTAGAATACGACTTAATGTATGTGTTTGTATATGTAGATTTGCTACACGGAAGAGAGGACTCATATACAGTGTTGTGATGGATGACAGTGAATGTTAATAAATATTGGACCGCTGGATAGCGCGATTAACCAATTTTCTGTCATTAGTGAAAAAAAGTATATATATACACACTGTATACACATATTTGAGCTCAAAAACAAACAAATTGACACGATAACACAGCAAAATCATAAATTCAATTAAATTAAGGCATTTTGAAGGCTTCTCAGCAAGTACATGTGGTTTTGAATTGGCATATATATATATATAAAATAATGAAATAAATATCACAAAGCAGCAAGGATTGCACAGTGAAGTTAACATATTTTATTTCTTTAAGTGCCATTCATGCATATCGGGGAAGGGGTGGTATTGACAATCCTAATGACACTTCAGTTATTTTACAGCACTAAAACCAATACAAAGAGAAGCCGTGTCATCTTATTGGACAGCAAAAGTAATAAACCGTGCAATAACAAAAAGGACAAAAAGGGGAAAATAAAGGAAACAACAAATACAAGTAATGACCAGGACAAAATCAAACAGAAAACAAAGATTAAAATAGAATATAAACACTGAAACACTGAATGTTGAACCATAGTACAGGTAAAAGGTAGTGTCACACAAAAAGCCAACGCATTTTCATCACATATATACAATATAGATATATACATACTGTGTCACCCTTGGATTGGACAATAACAAAATACTCTGTATTCATCTCCCTCTTTTCTTTCGCAGGTGAACCCGAGCCCTTGCCTTGATCCCTCACCACCCCAGAGGAAAAAAGGACAATCGAAAACACATATATTTACAATAAGCACAACAACACACCAACAATGAATAAAATAGGCTCCAAATACCAGAACTTGTTGGCAGTTTTCTCCCATAAATGTAACAAGGCTTCTCAAATCTTCCTTGATTACAGTAATCTCTCTGGCAGATACGCGCGTCTCCACTTGTTTTAAGTTCTTTTTTCTTCTTTTGTTTTACGAAAACTGAGTTGTCTTTAAACAGTTAAAACTTTCACACAACACAAACACAAAATCAAAGGAGCAATGTTTTTACTTTTTCTTTTTTGAGAAAAAGAGGAAGAGAGAGAGAGAGAGGGAGAGAAAGAGAGATAGAACTCATCACCTGTCCAGCTCATATTCTCTTGCGCTCCCTTGAAGCTTTCAGTTCAGTCCGATCCTTCAGACTTACTTTACGCCAATTACCCGCCGTCTTAAATGTTGCAAAGTTAGACTTCCTCTCTTTGGCAAACAAGAGATCCAAACACATCACTACCACAAATAGATTGGCAATACATACTAAATATTTCCAACTGAAAACAGACACTCCTCCTCCTATCCAGACAAACCATGATGGAGGGTGAACACCACAGTATGGCATTAAAGTTCACACCGAGGGTGGATCGATGCCAGACATTCACTCGAGGGAGATCCTGCTTGAGTTAATGAACGCTTGTGCTTCTGACTTCTTTTCAAAGTGCACAAATGACCAGATAAAAGCTCTGAAAGCTCTTTGTATGACAAACACTGAGGCTAGGTGAATGAGGCTTGTGAACACTTCAACAGTATCCAAACAAAAACACGAGACGAACAACCGATAAAAAAGAAAACAGGAAGAAAAGGACGCAGAGAGCCAAAGCAGACTTGGGCAATGGAGCTTAGCTTAAGAACAATGTGCACAGCATCGCAGTCAAACAAAAAACACAGACGTTAAACAGTCGGTCTGGGGTAAAGTGGATAACAGTTCTGTCACTGTTTTTCTTCTCTTGTAAAAGCACACTCACAAATTCAGTATCATGGCCAGTCGAGTTGGATTTCAGGGTTATGTTTGGCTTCGGTAATACGCTTTCACCAATTTAAACCCCATTAGCATCAAAAGGATCTGACGATTGGTTATGTAATGATGGAATATACGGATATGTAAAGAACTACACAGCTGATGGTGGACATGATTGGGTGAAGAATCAGGCTGAAATGTCATGAACATGATGAGAGTTTGACAGGGTTCCTTAGCCATTAAAATCCTTTTAGGGGTGAATCTCTCAAAATCCATCTAATTTCACCCCAAAATAAAAAAAATAATATTTTGATCAAAGAAACTTTTTTTAAGACCATTAAGTTCTTTATTCTATTATATATATATATTCTATACATTTTTATTATATTAAAAACCTGTAAAAATGCACCTCATTTCAAGTAATTGAAACAGTATTTTATTTTATATCAGTATTTGTTATACTGCCTTTACCATAAATTGAATTACTCCATTAGATTTTTTCATGAAACAATAAAAATACTGTATTACAGTAATGAGAAAATGACTAGAGAATAATCAGGGAATTGCAAAAAGAATTAAGTCAGGACAGATTTGTTTTTAATGTCTCATGATAATAAATGTCAGAACTCTTAATGGTCTTAAAAAATAGATGCCTCTAAGCAAAACTATTTCTTTTTTCCCTTTCTGATTTTGAGGTTGTAATGCGACACATGTTCATGATATTAGAAGGACATACAGTATATGACAAACCGTTAAGTAGGGTTCATGGATCCATGACATTAAGGGCCTTAGGGATCAAAGGCCAATACATGTCAATGACTAGTGTAAATACTTTGTTTGAGAGTTTATAATACTGAAATACAAAAAGGACAAAAACAACTGTCATTAGATCATTTCACTTTTACAAGTCTATTTGCACGTACACTTTGATAAATAATAAAACAAATCCCATAAGATGACTGAAAACTACTGGAAGCCAAGGAGACTCGGGAGTGCGTAAACATTCAAGCTATGAGAAACAGATCCACTCCTTCCCTTTTCAAACGCACTTAATGGCTTTTCGAAATCAGCACTTCTCTCTAGAATTTGGTCTAATCGAAGTGCTACTTTTCACTGATATATACCCTGCTAAAGGTCAACAGCCTGCACCTATTTCTAATTTGGGTTCCGCTAGTCTAGTCCACATCCTGTGCATTCGTTTTGTGCTCTTCAAAAGAGATGATTGTAATCACTGATAGCCCTAAATTAATTATATTGCACAAACACATTCCATAATATCGCTGATATAATAAAATGACACTGTGGTTTGTTATGCTAGCAGACACTTTCAACTAAACGTTTAAAAAATATAGACTGTAGTATGTAGTAATTACAGCGATAGTTGGGCTACGCTTGATAGAGCAAGACGTAGTTACAGTCTAGTTCCTGGTCGATTTTGAAGGACAGTGTGAATGTGTGTGATTTTAAACTTTGCAAGACTTTAGTAGCAGAATTTCAAACGCAGCAGTTAACATTCCTCCAACATAAGGCTATTAGTGTATCTAAATATTTCAGTCATCTCCTTTCTCTCGGTATTACGCTACACCCAGCGTCCAAAAGCAACAGCTAAAGTGAGGGTACGCTCTCTGCAAAAAGTCCTTGTCAGTGCAGTAAAGAGCAAGCGATTTCATGTCGGTTGGTCCTAGGGTTAAAATAAAGAGGGCTCTTTTATTGCGGACCATTAAGCAAATGTGCCTTGACGTGATTTCATCTCCTTCTCAACGCTGCTGTAAAGAGCCACACAGCAGGATGATTTCTGAATGTGAACAGGGCTCTCCGTTATCCCACAAATCTCCGGTCTGCTCCTAAACAATGCATGAAAGTTTCAGTGGCAGGTCCTGAGGGCTTTAAACGAACTTAAAAGCAATGCAGTCCAATTGGGAGACTGCAGTTTGACGGGTGATAGTTGACAGAATGAGGATTGTACATGCAAACTTGAAGCGTTTAGGGAAAACGTTAATAGTGAGGTCTGGATCGATATCATTTTCTGACGCACACGTTTAGACTTGCCTAAAACTATTAGTGACAAAAAAACATGACACACTTCAGGCAGCAAAGATACACAAGTACAAATACTGCAGGTAATGTGGTTTACACGTTTCATTACGAGCCTTAACGATCAGTAAATAAATCTGCTAGAATCGGAATCGGATGCATGGCGACTTCGACATGTTACAGTGTGTAGGGTCAGAGGAGCAAAAAAAGAAAGAAAAAAGGGGCTACTTGTGCCTGAATGACCAGAGAGAACAACGGTAGGTGCTTTGAGTGTCAGGTTACCTGCACCATAGGCTCTCTTCTGAAAAGTGCCCTGCATCTCAGAGGAAGTTTCACAACACAAATGAGGGAGCCAATCTTGTCTGATAGGCAGTCAAGGCCTGAGTTAGTCACCATGAGAGGGGAGAACAAGCCAGACATATTACGCGAAAATCACAGAATAACAGTTGAAGAGCAGGGGCGAGAGCTTGGCAATTGAGCGGGCTTGTAGAAAGGCTGTGGGTTGGGAGACATTTGACATAAACATGAACCACTTGCCCCTTGGACAAGTATAAAAGCGATCACTTAAATGTCCTAGTAAATGTGATTGTCTTCAAAGTAATATCTTTTTTTGTTTGTTTGTTTTTGTTTCATAAAAACACCAGGAACACAGGAGTCTCTTTCAGGTCCTAATGAACAACACCTGCACTATTTTTCAAGTGTCCCGCTCCAATCTGCCTTCTGTCACGGGCATGCAGACACCTCAGGTCCAGCCCTCTTGCTCTGTAACACAAACACTCTGCCTCCATACGCTCCTCTCTCGTTTTGTCTGCACCACTCTTTGCGTTCTGGGACTGGGTTAGACGATGGAGTCCCAGTCAAAGTCGTCCTGGATGTCGTCGGTGGGCATGCGGCGCATCTGGAAGTTTCCAGCAGACATCATATGCTGCTGGTTCATCTGAGCGTGATGGCCTGAGGACAGAGCAGAGGGGAACGGTCACGACACACAAATGCTTTGACGTGCATGTTAAGAAAATCATATTCCTACACATACCGTGGAAAGTTGCAACCTGGGCAAGTGTTAAATTCAAACTACTGGTGAATTATACACAGGTTACCTTGTGATCTTAAACAAACCTAATGTTATATGTAAAGTGTATATGCTTGTTACTATGTGGTTGGTTGTGTTTTACAGTGTTGCTATGGCATTTTTTTAATGTGTTTTGGGTGGTTGGGAATATCAGGGAGTCTCTATGATATCCTGGTCACATTATACGGCTCAGTTCCTCTGGCTGCACGATTTAAGGCATCATTCACATCTGTAGCATAAACTGTGCACAGGCTAATTCAGCAAGGATGCATTAAACTGATGATCAAAATTGACAGTCAACGCATTTATAGCATTAAAAAAGTTCTCTAGTTCAAATAAATGCTGCTCTTTTGATCTTTCTATTTATCAAAGATTCTTAAAAAAACGCATATATTTTTTAACTGTTTTCAACATTGATAACAATAAGAAATGAGCACCAAATCAGCATATTGGAATGATTTCAGAAGGATCATGTGACACTGAAGACTGGAGTAATGACTGCTGAAAATGTAGCTTTGCCATTACAAGAATAAATCACATATTATATATTACAATAAGAAATTGCAATAATATTTTCATAATACTACTGTTTTTACTGTACTTTTGATCAAATAAATGCAGTCTTGGTGAGCATAAGAGACTTATTTAAGACAAATGTAATGGTATTGAATGAGCAACAGTATGTAATACTAATTGTATGTAATTATGTGATGGTATCAAAAAACATTTTAATTTTTTAACACTAGCTTCAGTTCAACATGCTGGAAAATTAAGGCCATTTGATTCTTGATATAAGAGCTATAAAAGACAAGGACCTGTCATAGTGGGGCCAGCGCTGCTCATGGGCGGCATGTGAGGATATCCCGGCGGACCCATCATAGAACTCAAGCTCTGTCTCGAATCCATGTACATGTTTCCTGAAAAACAAACTGATGTTACTATTGTGGCAGACTTAATGTATGACAGTGGATTTTAGGGACGCTAAAGTCCACTCACCTGTGTTGATGTGTGGGCTGGGCTTGTTTGGATGCATGGAGCCGTGGCACACTGGAGGCTGCACTGCCCCCTGTGGCTGGATTCCAGTGCGAGCAAAGAACTGATTGATGGAAGAGCAGAGGTCTGCCATCTGAGTGGGCTCGAGAGACCAGTTATTCAGCTCCGCCTGCCTCATGCTCTCTTTCAAACCTTAAGAAAAACAATGATAGAAAATTTCACCAAACTAAAATGAAAAGCCTTAAAACACTGTTTTAAAATGACATGCAAAGTGACTTACACAATGAATTAATATACAAAACAAATAAAGCACAGAAATTGCTTAACAGGACACCCCTGTTCAAGTTAATAAGAAATCCTGTGACAGTCAACTAAAACTATTTATATCTTTTCTTTATTCAAAATGCTAGTTTAAAGGCAGGTCTGTCATTTTTCAGTATAACTACAAAATTTTTTTTTTTTAGCTCATCACACAGATTTAAAATAAAATAAGCTCAGAGTTGTTATATTTATAATATTTAAATAAATAAAATAAAATAATTCAATTGTATTTAAATGATTATATATTTAAATAAAATAATTTAAAAGTTTATATTTAAATAAATATGTTTAAATAGTTGTTATTGTTTGCATAAAGTAATTCATTCTTTTGAAAAACATTGTTTTTTAAAATAAATAATAAAATACTTAATAGATAATTAAATAAATAAAAAATATTAAAAATATATTTTAAGTGCATCAAATAACTAATTTAAATGCATTTATCATCATCCATTCCAACGTACTATGTATCATTATTATGTATCATACGAGATAAAGTGGAGCTAGTACAAAATGAATAACTTAAAATACCAAAACCATGAACTATTAATTTTTTCATTAGCATTTAGTCTCTTGAAAAAATTACAGCAAATACAGTATACAAGTAAGGCATTTTGATTATACCTTGGAAGGGTGACAGATCCACATCAGCCCAGTTGTAGCTGCTGGCGATGCGGCAGCTTTCTTTCAGCGCATCCAGGTTGGGGTACCAGTCACTGGGAAGACCTGTAGATAAAACAAGAAGGTAGTGAAGGTCACAGCAGAACTCATCTGGATGCGTGGTAGCAGCTTCCTGTTTGAGCCAGCAGGGGGAGCCATAACCCTCTGCTACAGGCCTGCTCTCTGAAGTGTGCTGGATTTGCTTTGTTCTCATTAGACTGAGCTATATAAATCACCCCATGATTTACTGCAGACTGCTCTGAAGTTGTCATAAATTTCTTAATCTAAAAATAAATGACTGTTAGAAGAGGCCTGAATAAATCGGCCTGTCAGGGCATTGCCAGCACAGAAGGAAGTATGCTGAAGGTTCGAGACAGAAAGCAAGAGGAAAAGACAGACGATCAGATAGCAAGAACTATCACAGACAAGCAGACTCTTACCGGTGTTGCACTGCATCTGTTGCTGGGCAGGATGAGGCTGGTGGGAGAGATTCGGGTGCTGCTGTTGCTGTGCCGTGTGCTGGCCGTGGGCCTGGTGCTGGGAGGGATGCTGCCCGTGCTGGCTGTGTTGGCTGTGCTGGGGATGTTGGCTGTGCTGGCTATGCGCCGTGTGCGGGTGCTGGCTGTGCTGGGTGTGAGGGCCATGCTGGGAGAGGTGCTGTCCGTGGGGCGAGTTGTGGGCTGAGTGAGGGGGGTGGGAGAGAGGCACCTGGCTACCGCTGTTGGGGATGTTGTTGGGGTGAGAGTTAGTGATGCTGTTCTGGTTGTTATGAGGGTGGGTGCTGATGGTGCTGCTGGGGGAGTGTTGGTAAGAGCAGGAGGTGTGGGTCTGCTGGGACGACTCCGAGGGCATTCCCATCAGACCTGTAAGGATCAAACAGACAGAGCATCATATCAAAAATGCTGTCTGCATCTGATCAGAATTTAAGATAAAAAAAAAAAAAAAGTAGGGACATTTCCATCATGTCAATACTCAAATCATAGTCACTGATATGTAACACTTTATATTAAGGTTGCATATGTAACACAATAGTTAACATGGACTATACATCAAAATTATTTAATTTAATTCAATATTATTAATAATATACATCAATTACTAGTAATTAATATCAATAACAAAATGCAAATATAAATGAGGGAAGATTATTAAATGCTGTAATAAATGTATATTGTTAGTTCACTACTTCATACATTCTCTAATAGCTAATTAGTACAGAACCGTACAGCCACACAGTACAGAACCTTATGGTAAAGTGTTACGCAAAAACTTGACGTCAAACGGTTGCCATGCATACTCTAATTAGTCAGTGTTTGTGCCAGCAACAAGTTTGACTCTAGTTTGTGACTTTCTGATCTCATTTCCTACTCTTTCTTTAATACTTTATCCAGTCTTTATTAATGTAGTAAAAAGCCCAAAAAATTAGAAAACTTCTATTTCTGTCTCCTTTAAAATGCACCAGGGTGCCGAGATGGTGACTCAGGACAAAGTCATGGTAAGCCCTCTAAAACCGAACCAGAATTTCTATAACTTTTCATTTGTGCAGCGATTGTTTTGAACTAGTTTCTAAAAACGCCTGACAAGCTTCCAACATCTGCACACTCAATAGCAATCACCGAAGCGTGCGGCTCGCGGTCTTAAGAGGCCCTGTCCATCATGGCGCTGGCACTGTAAACCTATTTCGGTGGAGAGCTTTTAGAGCAGACTGAGGGGTCCTGCATCGCTGCAATCGCCAGAGAACACTCATCGGCGGGGTGACAGGGGTGCATCTCTTATCAGCAGAGAAAGCCTATTGTCCAACCATGGGAGAGCACAGAAAGCAATTAGCTAGCAGCTCCCCTGAATAATAATGCGATTCATTACCTATTATCAAAGCCAGTGAATTAGCTCAGTGTCTCCAGCAGTGGGGTGTGAAATCCTCTCGCCAGCTTTATTTGCTCATTTTAATTGCCCAAGCTTGTCTGACTAAGAGATTTCACTTTTATGCACATAAAAAGGTAACAACTGTCAGCTAATGAAACATAGATGATAGATTAAAGAAGTTCACTTTGGAAACATTAACATGAAAAGCATCTGATTTGAGCAAAGTAGTTTAGACACAGGGGCTCGTCTGGTGTTGCACGCAACCCGCTTGTCAAGTGCTTTTTGAACATCAGTCAATCAGATTACAAACAATAGGAATTAACTTCTAAAAGACAGGCAAGCTCGCAGTGAAGCAAATCTAACCCTGCAATATTCCTATATCTATTTGATGGGCTGCCATTTGAGATGGAGAACTCTCTTTCAATGAAAAACATCTTACCGTACACCAAGCCAATATCGTCCTTGCAATTCATAAAAATACACATAAAAACAGCTTCTAAACACTAAAGCCTGTAAAAATAATTAATAATAAAAAAATGCATTTTCCTAATAAATCCTCACACACACAAAAAAAATCCATAAGCAGGAAGTTACCTGTAATTTTAAAATGGACAGTTCTTAATGATACAATTATGATAAATAACATCAACCACAAACACCATCCTGGTCTTGATGTTATAATGCATTTCATATATATATATTTTTATTACCTTTATTTTACCAGGTTATCTCATTGAGATTTAAAACCTCTTTTCCAAGAGAGACCTGGCCAAAATGACAGTGTGTTGACAGCGCACAATAATAAATATGAACAACAGACACACGTACAACATAAACATAAACAATCAACATTAGACTAATTCAAAAGTACACTTTATACATACTATGGATTTTAAAAAACGAATTATTGATAATTACATATTAAAAACAATGACAGCAATTTACAGCATCTATTTCTAAAGATTTCGTGTAGTGTTTAAATTGAGCAAATGAAATCAGATCTCGCAACTTCAAATCCAACTGCAATGTGTTCCACGTGGAAGGGGCTGGAAAACTAAAGGCCTTCATACCGAGCTCTATACGGACCTTAGGTACAATCAACAAATACAAATTACCAGAGCGCAAATTGTAAGAACAGTTGCTGCGAGACATATAAGTGCAAAGATAAGATGGGAGCATATCCAACATAGACTTGTAAATAAACGTAAGCCAATGAACATGCCTCCTCACTGATATAACTCTACATTATATACATTATAATGCTTTCGGCAATGAATAATAGTGCCATTGTCCACTACTTTATATTAAATTATTTTGGGATACATAAAATTGCGTATATTGCAAAATAAATAGTGATGTAAAGTCTATAGAAAGAAAGCAAGCTTCAATCACTTTTAAGTTACTGTCTTTTGATATAATTAATGACATAAAAATTTGATTAATTATTTATAACATTTATATTATAAACTAGGGATAAGTCGCGATCTTCGAATAGTCGAACTGTGTTCGAAATTCGATCATAAAATAGCTTTTTCGAATATCGTTATATTTTCGCCAATTCCAATGTGTTTATTTGACAATTGACGCCGCGCCTAGCCGCCTACTGTCACAGATATTTTGTCAGCAGGGTATTTTCTTGTCGGGGACACAAGGTGTCACTAAAATGAATGAACCCCCCTACTGCGCGATCTAGGATACCAGCGTTTTGTACATAGTGTAATGTGTTAAAAACAACAGCTGCTTCTGTTGTTTGTATAAGACTAAACAAACAACAGAAGAAGAGCATTGTCGTGACCGTTAACTCTGCAACCAATAATGCAACAACCAAGAAGCTCCGTGTGGGACATGAACAATGATAAAGTTGAGTAGAATATGACATATGCCTAAGCGTTAGGCTATGAATAGCTTACATTGATTGAAACTAATTTGTTTAAAAAGTAGGCATAAAATCATTATGACATATGACATTATTTTTTGATCTAACGAGCATCTGGTTTGGCGATGCAAAAACGGACTGTCGGGCTTATTGTTTTTACTTCTTCCAATTAGATTACAATGTTAAAAAAACGACGAAAAACACGTTACTTGTTTAATTAATAAACAGTTTGTCTGATGACAAATCGCTAAAGATGAAATTGGCCTCCTTTTCTGTCATTGTGAGTGTGCGTTTTTTCTTTTCTTTTTTCCCCCCGATTTTTGAACGATATTCGACTTTTGCTCCTCGATTGTCGAATGGCATTTTTGGCAGAAATTCACATCCCTATTATAAACTAGTTTACCTATAAATATTATACATTATTATAATATATAATAACTTACTATTCTAAAACAATTAAAATAAAGCCAATAAAATGTTATTAAATAATTATTATAAACACTATAAAATGATTTATTTAGCAAAATCACAACCATAGGCAGGCACATACAGAATCTGTACACGTACAAATTCTGTAGAATTGAACAGCTTCAGACAATCTCCACTCTATGCATGTTGGTTTATTAATCATTTTGGCTGATATGATGGTGCTTTCAGCTACCAATAAGACTGAAGTGCTCTCAGCTCTGCACATGGCGCAAAAAGTCTGCAGACTCCATCTGGACTTGGCCGACGTGTGTGTGTAAAACTCACCCTGTTGGCTGTAGGACTGCTCAAACACAGTCTTGTAAAGGCTGCGGAAGGAGGCACTGAGATCTTCGAAGTCGGAGAAGAGCAGCTGCTTGTCCCGGTCCGGTATGCTGTACTGGGCCTGAGGGGCCTGCTGCAAGCCCATGGACTGGGACACCGGTTCTGGATGACTCGACACCTGAAGGGGGAGGAGATGAGGAATGCAAGATTAGCAACAATGACAGAAATCAGCCTTGCCACTCTAAACGGCAGAGCTGCTCAGCCAGGCCTAGTGACCGGCAGATTAGAGCTCAGATAGAACATGACAGCACTGACTACAGCACTCAGGATCACGGCACAGGAAATTAACTGCCAGACACACTGCAGCACAATATGCAGGAGCCAAATCTCAGGCGCACAAAACCCCTCCAATCCTTGACCGTTTATTTACGGCTGAATCTGTACATAACATACAGCCATGATCAAAACAGACGCGTCTCTTGAGAGACTCTCTGAAGTTGTTTTTACGGCTGTTTATTCTGTAATTAACAGCTTGGCGAAACTAACTGAGCAACGCAACTGAAATCGACAGCGAGATCATAAAAGCTTGCCTGCAAAAAAAAGGCACTGATCCATAAAACAAATCTTTCTAATGATAAATATCCTTCTAACTAAATACAGTACAGGTTTGCCCATCAAAACGAATTAGCTTGTGTGTCTAAACTCTCACATCTATGAAATCGTAAGTGTTGCACTCCAAAGGGGATCTGCACACTGTTTTGAGTCTGAAGAGATGCCTATCGTGCCCAGAATGAGTGATTCATTGAATGGCTCCCAAGGCCTCCATAATGCCGAGCATATTTGTGGCGTACACAAGGGCAGAGGCTCTGCCATGTCTAGCTCAAGACAACAGTGTTTAACAGACTGGAGAGACTGGCAAAACAGTCATCAGGACTCCAAAGAAGTCTAATTCTAGCTGTCGATGCGAACTGGTGATGGGAAATGTATCTGAACACATCGCAAAGCTATTGCAAACAAGTCTCATAAACAGATAATTGTTAGTGCCAGTGATTCAGACAGTGTCCCCTTCTGATAATAAGTTGTAGCAGTATAGTACACAAAAACACAATTTTTAACAAATTAAAATACCTCGTCTAAGAACAAAACATTTTCTAGTATCGGTAATAGCTGAAATGCATATGAACGGAACCGTATTTATCATTCTAAAACTGGACTGGCCATACATATTTTGCTAGAATGCACATTATTAACTTTCAGGCTGACACCGAAAAGTTGACAATTATTTTCATGTTATGGCTGATAAGTAATAAATGTCAGATATTAAAATTCTACACTATTTTGTCCAAATAAATTTGAAACAAAACATTAAAAAGTAAAATCAGTCCTTTAACATGCTACAAGTGCATTAGAACATTTGAATGAAAAATGGATAATATGAGATTTGCTAAAGATTACATTTAACGGTGTTATTAAATTAGTGGTTTTAAAGACTAAATTTAACGAGTCTTAGATGATGGCCATGGTAATCTAAGTGTAAAAAGTAGGGAAATGAACATACAACATTACACATACATTCATATATCATTATGCACATATACATATGCATATACTGTGTGCATCCCAGCATTATCCTGATTCCTGTGGTACCCATCATTTTGTATCTCATTACAGTTGCAAACTCAAAACTCAATTGTAAAATCAGAGAGCAAGAAACAATAGTTACTTAGCACAATTAAAAAAACAAAAACTTGCATAAGGAAAGACCTGCTTGCATGCACCATTAGCAGCAGAGACTAATTGTACACAAGAAATATGAGCAGTGGGAGTCAGATGACACACTATGCATCACTATAAAGATGAGCATATAATCTGGTTATGTTCAAACAGACTACAGTGTTCGAATAAGCTGGATGGAGCTGAAAAAGAGAGACAGAGAGACTGAGAAAGAGAAAGAGAGAGAGAGCATTGTCTGGCCCACTGAAGTGAATCTATCAGTGTCTGTGCCGGATCAATGCTGAGAGCCTGGAGCGAGAAGCATGCGGGGCTTCTAGGGGACCACAACAAAGAAGCGGCTTCTCTGGTGGGAGGACATCAGAGGCAGCGTCTCTCTTTAGCAGCGCTCCAGCAGTATGAGCTCTGCCTTTCATTCCCTTAACCTCGGTGTCAGCACACTCCCATGCACAGGCCTCCAATCTCTGGCAATCTGACTAACGCACTGGAATCTTGCTGCTTTATATAAAGTAGATCCACAATAAAACTCAGCAAATTAAGAGCTCTGCTTCAGGTTCACGAGGTTAAAGAGTGGAATAGTGGCTGCACAGTTTGATGAAAACTGGACACTTACCGGTGTGTAGTTGTGCACGCTGCCCACGCTGTTGAGATTAACAGAGGCCAGACTCTGATCAGATAGGCTATTGTTAAGGCTGCTTCGAGGGCTGTCACTCCCCTCCTGGTCAGGGTTGTACAATGCCACCTGGATATCAAGAAAGGGAAAGGGTTAATGACTTAGGAGTGTCTATGATAAAAATCTAGTTTAAAATAAATGTGCCAAGTTCTTAGACATGTACTCTTTGTTTCTGTTGGTGTCATACAGTTTTGCAAAACTTGAATACCATTAACACCTTTAATAATACTAAAAGGGTTAAATGTAATGACACTAAAAATGACAACATTTTCCTTACACATTGAATACATGTGAATGTACAAATTCTTTTTACTAAAATATAAAAATAAATTAAATATTTTATATTAATTTGTATTTCATAATATATTTAATAATTCTTTACTATGATATGAAGATAGTAGTAATTATTTAAAAAATAATTGTTTTTATATTTATTTAATATAAATTAAATATATAAAATATATTGTATTAATAAAAATAGTATATATATAAGATGGTATATAATATATATTTTTTTAATTATATTCCGTTAAATTACGTTTTTCCCCTTTATTATGATATCAAAACAGTTGCATATTAAACATTTTATGAATAAAATGATTAGATATATAAAATAAACTATATCAAACATATTTATGAATATCAAAATGAATCAGAACTCAGAAAAACATGTTTATTATAGAAGATGTGAATTCAGGTAATTGCATTTTAAATGTATTTTTGAAAACATTAATACACAGGACCAAAAAAATGAGTAAGCTACTGTGCCATTTCATCCATTGTCAGGTACATTCCAGAAGTTAGTTTGAGATACGACAAGAAGTCTCTGTAGTGCAGATACTGCGGGTAGGGTGCTGAGAAAAAGCCAATCAAACAGAAACCACCTAGTTTCAGTGGTCTTAAGGGGAATTCTTATCCCCTTTCAAACTGTAACAGAAACAACAGACGTTTGCGTCACACGCGTGACGTGTGGCATGCGTACACCACACTCTGCACACGAGTAAGGTCAGTTAATACGCGCGCCCCACACTGTGCCTCATATGGAGGGAGCGTGGCTAGTGGCCAGCAAGATGATCTGCTGTCTCAGACGGCTGAGAGGGGAGAGCTCTCCTTCAGTAAAGGTCACGATGCTGGCAGCGTTGAAACCGTCAACTTGCACAGCGCAAATTGGTTTGGGACAGCTCACAAAGGTCCCGAATGCTACAGAGACCCTGACCTTTCTGTGTGCACTGTTGAATGCGCAGTTTTCCGAAGCGTAAGAACCTCGACTTCAAAATGATAATTCCAATTATCATTTGAAAAGCTGAACTGCAAATATGTGCTGGTTGCAAAATGAGAATAAATAAAGCATTGGAGGGATGGTATGGGAATGAATATAATGAGCTCCTGGGAGAATAGTCCTACATTGAGTTCGCAGTGGTAGGAAAGGATGAATGGAATCACAACAATGCTGGCCGTGCTCGCATCACACGCCGCATGTCTTGGCAGCCACAGAATAGTGCTAAAACCCCGCAACAAGTCCCAAGATTCACCTGCATGAGTAAGGACGTACAGAGGCTTTCATGCTACACCAAACCACAAAAAATTTAAACACGGTCATTATTTACTCTCCCTAATGTCGTTCCAATTTTGTGTGACTTACTTTCTTATGCTGAACACAAAAGAAGATATTTTGAAAAATGTCTCAATGTTTTTCTTGTCAATAACATGCAAGTCAGTGGGGTCCAAAACAACATTCGACCGCATTGACTTTCATTTTATGGACCTTTTCCAAAACGCAGGGCAAACAATTTCAAGAGTGAAAGGCCCCCCAAAAAATTCTGTTGCTGCAAGAGATGCAGCAAACGCTTCGGTCCTGTTCCCCCTTGACTCAGCGAGACAGCAGATAGAAAGACACATTGCACATCACAGTCTCTTACAGAGAATTATCATTCAAGCAGAATAAATGTTTCCCAATCCTATTATTCCCTGTTCATCAAAAGAGTAGGTTGCTGGGGCTGCACTGGATTGAGGGTGGATGGGGGGTTAATGTCATAGAATAATTTGCATATTATAACTCTTCCCTCTTTCAGCTATGTTTAGGCCTGGAAACAGTACATTACTAGAACAACTAACCCTGTGCGCAACTAAGCACTGAGAGGCTCAGGCAAGTCGAAAATTCAATCACGCAGAAAACAGTTACAATTATAATCAAAACCTGGTGTGAAGAACAAGTATAAATGTTATGTGTAATTAAGTCATAAAAGAGGCTTTTAGCCATGAGCCTTTCACCACAATCTATTTTTACTCCCTGCATCCATAAAGTATGATTTAAAGACCTCATCACACTGTGGTTTGTTCAAGGCCTAAAACGTAGACGCCTACATACACTGTGTGCACGTCCGCACACACACACACACATACACAGTGGGAAAGTAACACGCAGAGAGAAGGTAAGGGGTGAACAAATCCATTGCAAATACTCCTGTGTGTTTGCTGCAGTGGAGGAGCGCTATATTTAGCCGTGAATTAAAGTCAAAAGCCAGTGGAGTCTTTCATACAGGCGACTTAATCTGCAGCATGAGACAAGGATTATGAAATCAAAGAGAAATCCACCCAGGTGTCTCTAACAATAACTAGCATTCAAAGGAAAACTATGCAATTTAGATACAATGTGGGAAAGAAATAAAGGAAAGAAAGAAATATAAAGAATAATAATTAAAAAGAAAGTTTAGCTTATGTTTCAATCCATGTTACACTTTCAATATAAGAATACATAATAACAATACATGCATATTTAAATATAAATATTAAAATGATAATTACATAAAATAATATGTCAAATTTAAAACTAATTTTTACTATGCAAAAGTTAGAAAAAAGAAAGTAATTCAGCTTCAAACCATTTTAAGTTACAATATTTAAATATAATTCAATTCATTATAATAATAATAAATATTTAAAATGTATTGAAATGTACATAAATATAGTATTAACATAATAAAATTACATGCACACACACACATCATACTTTTATTTATGGCATTAGTTAGAAAGTTAATGTTCATGTTAAGCATCAAGTATGATTATAATCTTTTAATATAATAAAATATATTTTAATAATTATATAAATATGATCAATGAATATAATGAAATATAGAATATTTTAAATAATTTAAAAACTATTTTAATATGCTAACTTCTTAGCAATAGGCCTCTAGTATACAACAGTTAACACATTTTGAACCTGTTGAACTCATTCTGCAGATTTTAAACCCTAAACTTAACCCCTAACCCTCTTTAAAATCAGCAACATCCATAAATCAGATTCAATCTATGGGTCTGCTCAGTAGGCTTAACCAACCGAACTGAAATAGGGAAAAGCACTGCATGATGATAATTTAATCTGAGGGAGAGAGAGAATGCGCAGTCACAGCCAGGCTTTCCTTCTCAATGTTATGCAGCACAGGCGCTTTCCCATTGGCCTGCACCGGCAGGCGGGAAAGTATGAGAAAGAGGGAATTCCTGTGGCTTGGCATGGAACACTCAAGAGGCGTGGCGTGTTCTCGGTTTACAGGGCCCACACTGAGAAACAGCATCTCCAAGGAGCCGCCGAACTCTGCAGTCTTGTTTTCGCTCTCCTGCGTGTTCGGTTTATAATCTATCAGCGTTTCGAGTAGGAGGGCAAAGAAAGCATATGCTCATGGGATAACCTCAAAATCCCATTCTGGGTGGATCTTGAAATTCTTCCCATATGAATCAGTCATACCTTATGCTCGCATTGTTTTGCTGTGTGAAACACTGTAAAAGGGGAACAGTCGTTTGTGATGTGCTAAAACAATAATAATATTGCAATAAAACAATAAAAAGCTTTATTGTTTATTGTTCTCATATATAGGTTGGGTTTCAAAACCTAGTGAACTTCCAACATCAGGAGCATTTTAGGGAATCAGAGACAAACTCCAGAACATTTGCTAAGAAAATGCTAAGCAATTTCAGCTAAGACAAATCACTACTACTGGAGGTTACAAACACAACAATTCTATATACACTGTATAACCGAATGTAACATCTGCACATATTGTATTTCATCCAGATGAACAGATCACCAAACTTACTATAATTCAATCCAAATGAATTCCACATCCCCCTCGCCATCATCTTAAACACCATGCTTAATGTGAAATACTATTAGTTTAATGCCTGAAGTAAATTAATAACTGATGGTTTTGGGCTTTGTAAAAGCACTCCAGAGAGAACGAGCAGCCCGCAACAGGCCAAGAGTGAAGCGCTTAAGGTTAAAAAGCCTATTTAAATTTCAGTGTGTTTTACTCTATTTCTTTTTACACACTTCTCCATGAAGTCATGCCACGAAGGGCGAGTTACGGAGAGAGTCACTCGGGGTGCTCTGCCTAGAAGCATTCAGCAGGTAATCATACTTCCAAACATTAAACTGTTCTCTTACAGAGAAGTACTGCAAGCATTTAGCACTACAAGGCTTTTAAAGATGGAGTACAAACTTTAAACCAACTTAAAGGTGCTCTAAGCGATGTCACACTTTTTTAGGCCAAAACATTTTTTGTCACATAGAGCAAACATCTCTTCACTATCCGCTAGCTGCCTGTCCCCTGAACACACTGGAAAAAAAATGCCAGACACCCCAGGCTCCACAAACGGCAACAAAAACAAACTGGGCCAACCCGCACCACGAAACATAACAAACAGTGTTCCAGCCAATAACCGACAAGAGGGGTTTGGGGGGTTAGTGTGCGGATGAGGAGGAGGGAGGGTCTAGCTAGCCTCCGTTTTGTTTGACAATACTTCGAACGTCAACAAGAAGTGACGTCAATCAACGTAATTTAGAGCACCTTTAACTTTCACTATAAAGGAGTATTCTGTTAAGTTAACTATAAGTTATAAAGGTGCAGTCAAATTTCTGTGAAATTTTACAGACAAAAAAAGGTCCATTGTTTATTGTCAAGAAGTGATGTATGAAGCACAACTAACAAAGCCACTTTCAAACCAAGCAGCTTTCCCTTGGTCAACAAACAAAATCTGTCTGCCTAACTTAAACCTTTTGTGAAATCTGCATAAGAGTCTTTTGCCTTCATATGAAAATTCGGACTGTGTGGATTTCTATTGAAATAACTGGATTTTGTCTGTGAAAATTCACAGTAAAATGGTAAATAAGACAGCACCTTAGATGTGCAGTATGTAAGATTGACAGCTAGCGGTTGAAATGGGTACTGTAGTCAAAATTCAAAATATTGTAGGGAGTCGTTCCCCCGCCCCCTCCTTCTCAGACTCAACGATCGCGCGGGTTGCCAGTTTGAGGACACGCAACAGGAACGAGTGAAATTGACAATGGAATGCGGGGAGACTTACACACTGTAAGTTGATGAGTTGATTTATTTGAGTTGATATCGCGTTTGAATTTGCTCCCGTTCATAGAGATTTTTAGATGGGTGCTGAGGCTTTTTAGGTTGGGTAGAATCTGCGATCTCTGACCCAGTTTGTTCGCTGGCTTCCATAGCATTGTTTTTCAGAGAAACGAGTATGTGAACTCAGCATGTTTCCTAAATATCTGCAAACATATGGTATTTTTATGCTTTAGTACAGTCAAAAACTTACATGCAGCACCTTTAATGTTGATTACCACAAAAATGTTTTTTACTCGAAGAATACTGTATTTTTGCACAGCTTAATATCTTGTGTAGGCGCAAACCTGACATTTTGGACTCAACAGACAAATGGAATAAGGTATTAGCAATTCACAATACAATGCATATGCACTGTTAAGAGGATTTGTATACATAATGCCTGCCCAATATAGATGAAACCCAATGTCAGTTTTCTGAGCGTCCGTGTAAACAAAAGCATCACATGTCAGTCATGTTATGCAGTCCATGCACATAGTCATAGCAGGATAAATATAAATGTAAACTGGGTATGTAAGCTGCTAATGTCAGCTGTGATAGGACAAAAACAGTCAGGGTTTGTGGAGTTGGAAATGAAATGCTACCTTGTTAGTCACAGTGTTGATTGCCAGCGTTGGAGAGGCACTTCCAGAGATGATGCAGTCCATTCCTAAGTTATCCGACTCCAGGCTGTATGGCGTAGATGCCTGCAGGAAAACAAAAAAGGACACATTCAGCCAATCAGGACGGAGATGATGAGTGATCTGAAGTGACTTTGATTTTCTTTTAAAGGCATTTGATATTACTCTGGTGCAAGAAATTTTAAAGCATAAGCAGCAAGCGTTTATCAACAACAAAAGAGCAACACCTTTTATTTAGGTCAAAATTGGAGGCATTCTGGGAAAGAGATGAGCAGGAGAGAGGAACGGCTCCCTGTGCTCTGTCTGTTCTTGCTGGGGTAAAAGATAACTTCAGCACGCCTGTCTCCCAAAACTGCTTATTATAAGAGGATTGCCTGGCAACAATGCGATTTTTAATTTGTGATAAACATAAATGAGATTTTGCAAAGTCACAATTATTAATGTCAAAGAATTTCTTAAACAAGACAGGAGGAGGATGAAAGTGAGAGCGAGTGTGTGTCTAATGAAATATACTCTTAATAGTGAGCATCACACTTTGCACAGACAGAATTCTCACTTATTTTTCATGCAGGATCAGGCTGAGAGCGAATGGATCTAATTGGAGGTTTTTGATGTGAGTGAAGTGAGTGTCAGTATGAAAAATGTTTGTGTGTGGCCTGAGGGCAGAGCTGTGTGCCGAGAGAATGATACTCTCACTGGAGTCTGGCGATTATAAATGACACCAGCCTAACTGCCTGACCATACAGAAGAAAACACACGCTACAGACTCAACACACATGAGGTCAATTTGGCAATCAGGCTTATCACATGTGATTTCTGACATATCTTTTTGGTCCAATATATTTACATTCATATAAATACTGATGTGCGAGCAGACGTAATCAAGTATATCACTCACTTTGCAACAATTGCACAAAAACACAGCTTGTTGAGAACATGAGAGTAACCAGTTAGAATGCTTCCAAAATTAAATTTTGGGGTGCAAAGAATGACTCTCTAAATCTTTGTCTTATATTTATATCATATGATATTAACCAACATCACACAAGCAAGAGTACTGTTTTTCCTGAATATCAGCACGGTTGTATATGTGATGAATGTGATGTTGAATTCATTGATTAAATGTAAGAATCTGACAAAAGATGATGCATGTGTCTAATACTAGGGATGCACGATATTTTCGGCACGTCATCAGCCGACAAAGGGTTAAAATATAAACATCGGCCCAATATGAAAAATAGGGCTGGGTACCGAGTTCGGTACTTTTTAGGTACCGACCGAATTGCCTCGATACTACCGAGTATCGAAACATGTCTTGTTTTTCGGTACCACATTTCGGTACCTAAGTGGTTAATCTCGTCAATGTCAGTGAAACAATAAGCATGCAGCATGATTGGCTGTGGCGGAAAAACACTAGTTTACGCGGCTGCCCAGAGACGCGGCTCGTCGCACGTGAGGCTGCAGTGTGTGTGTGTGTGTGTGTGTGTGTGTGTGTGTGTAAGCGTGCGTCCCAACCCAGATAGATAGAAAATATGTGGAAATGATCCAAAGTGTACCTATGTCATGTGCCAGACTCGATGCCAGATGCACGCGATGCAATATTTTCGACAAGATCATTGCTGCCAAGACCGGCAACACGGTAAATCTAGGCACTGAAGCGCACAAAATACACTTGAGAGTAATGGTGTTCACATCGAACGCGAATAGAGCGTCAAATACGCGTCTATCGCGTCTAGTTCGACGCTTGAATCTTCAGCTCGAGTTCAAATTTTTCAACTTGCGCGGAAGACGTTCGCGGCAAACGCGTCACCCAATTCGCGTCATTCGCGACGCCCGGCGCGAATGATCCGTCTATTCGCGTCTTTGCATTGACTATGTATGTAATCTACTCGCACAAATAATTAAATTCGCGTTCGGTGTGAACACACCATTAGTAAACACTTGTTCATTAATAAATAATTAAAATATCTCCTTGCTATTGTTTCCACATCCATAATCATTAGGCTACTTTTGCCAGTGCTTTGCTGCAAGCTTCACGTGCAGGTATATATCCCGCCCCCCAGTAGCCTATATTTAATTTAATTCACATTTATTTGTATAGCATTTTTCACAATACATATCGTTTCAAAGCAGCTTTACAGAAAATGCATGTCTAAATTACAATTTAGAGTGATCTGTTATCAGAGGTGACAGTGTAATGCATTTCAATTAATTTTCATTCAGTTTCATCGTTAATTAATGCATTAAGTTAAAGCAGAAACAATGAGCTCATTGAAGTAAAGAATACATGTTGTTAAATGATTAGGAAACATAGAAAACTTTAGCATTGGTGCTTTTTTACATACTCAAAATATGAGTGTAAAAAAGTCAACAAACTGAAAAAAAAATTAGGTAATGTTATATTGTTAAACCTGGTTACATAAAATTGGTATCGAAAAAAGTATCGTTCAGGAACCGGTATCGAAGTCAAGGTATCGGTACCGAACATTTTGTTACGATACCCAGCCCTAATGAAAAATGATGCCGATATGGCTTGCCGATAATAATGTTGATTATGCATCTGTAGTAACTCACATGTGCTCAAGAAGTGCTAGCGATATAACGTCAGCAGTGTGGTCATTCTTGAAGCAAACTTTTGCTTGAATGGTGATTAGATTCACTGCTTTAGATCGCTGTGCTGAATTTGAGAACGCGAGAACAGAATGATACGCAGCTGCAGCAACAACCTCCCCCAGGTCCTAATGCTTGTCCGATAAGGAGTTTTATTTGATTAGGGGGTGCTGCAAGCCTACATGTTAGACTAATAAAATGAAAAGTAAATTACGCATTAAGACACTTGTGTTTCTGAATAAATAAAGCAGCAATTGATGTCATAAAATCACAAATCTGATTTGCTTTAAAAGGTCAGAAGCTATAGTTTACATGATGAATAAAAATCACAAACATGACACTTGTAAATTAAATAATTTTATACATAGTTTTATTAATTAATGTGCAATATATTTTTTCAAATGTCATTTATGTGTATTTATCTTTAAAAAAAAATAATAATTGTAGAATTTTTACAGCTCTTTTGCAACCATAAAATATTTAAGGTTACAACTGCATTGGTCTGAAAAAACCCCCAAACAAAACAAAACCCAACAGTGATTCATTTTATTATTGTTAGTTTAAAAGCTTTCAATGTACTCTCATTATAAAAATAAATTTAATAATGTTTTAGTTTTTGCTCAAAACTAACCAAAATGAAAAAATAATTTGTTTATAATCCCTGCAGAGGAGAGACTTGGTGTTGTTTCCAAACAAAAGGAAAATATATCGGTATCGGAAATAAATAATTAATTGAAAAATATCGGAATATCGTATATCTGCAATAATCCAATATGATTAGAAGAAAATGCCTTTGGGCCTTTATAAAGGTAAAAATGCCCCTGGAAATCAAGTTAAGGGAACAAATTTTGCCCCTTAATGGAAAAGTTAATTTCTGTCACTGCTGCGTTCTAACCACCGCACAGAATATGAAGGATATGAAAAGCTTCAGGGTCATCTGTCCACGACAGGCCTAAACCAGCCAAGGTACCAGAACAAAAATACACCCAGCAAATATAGTCGTTATCTTTATTGACAAAATCCCAAAATATTGAGATATAATCTTAATATATCGCACACACCCCTACAGTGCACCTAAAACAGAAAATTCGGTTATTGTTTACTTTCTAACATTTTTTCCCATTGTGCTTGTGACCACAATTTAGTCGCAGTTTAACATCCCCTGATAAATAAATGCTTCTTCACAAATGCTATTTTCCTCTATATGGTTTCCGGTCATGGTTAAATGTCTACATGTCTTCAATCTCTGCCCCTTTCTCTCACTATAGCTGAACTCTTTCGGTTTGCCTGTGCCTCTGATCCACAACGCAGGGCTGGACAAAATGATGCAAGATACCTCTGAGCCAGGTCAACCTCGGAGGCCGGCGTCGAGTGCAGCCGAGTTGTATATTCCGTTGAGCGTTGCTCATTAATAATGGAAGGAAAAAGCTCTGGCTGTAAATAACTGGCGCAGAAACTCTGCATTAATTGATGTTTGCTAAAAAATGAGTGCAGAATGCAACGTATGTAAAGACTGCCTGGGGCACAGTTTATTAATAAGTCGGACCCCCTCTACAAGATAAACTGATCTGCACTGAGTGAGACAGCTATTTAAAAAGATATAAGCGCCCAATCAGCAAACCTGTGCACAGCACGACTGTAAAGCACCGACTCAGACATGAAACAAAGCCAGCTTTCTCAACTCAGGAAATATTCAGTCCCATCTAATTCCTTTTCTAACAACACACCAAGTCCATGTTGTCACACATTTCTAGCGAGAACAAATACAGGCAACATATTGCTAAGATAGGCTACCTGCATGCTAATTTTGAGGAGGAAAAAGACACACAATGGGCAAAAAGACACAATATGGGCAAAAATATTTAGGAAAAAAAGCTTCAATGTCAAATCAAAGTCAGACTATATAAAAAGTAAATGTGTTATGTCTTATGTGTGGTTGGTAGGTTTTGTTTATAGCTCTTCCCAAACGATAAAAACGAGCCATCAACACATGCACTAAAGAAATTACATAGTTTTCTGCAGATCTTTAAGTTTAAAAAAAGATGAACTAGACTAATAAGCTTACATTTTCAGCCCCCGAAACTAGATTTCTAATACAGAAATCGTTTTTTTACAGCAAGGACCCATAACCTCACTACATTCAAAAACTATACAAAATAATGGAAAATATTATTTAAAACACACACAACTCTTTTGTGAATGTGTATCTTTAGGTAGACATTGACATAACATCCAGTCAGTAAGCAAGTCGCATGTTATTTCAATGACCATTCTAATAGATGAGCGACAAGTCTGTAATTTTTTTGGCAAAGAACTGATTCTGTGAATCATGTAGGCCTGAAGAAAATGCATCAAAAGACCTGCCTCTATTTATTATCTTTGGATTACTTGAGTTTTTTTAATTCTGTTTTACATTCAATTGAAACTGCAAACTTAAATCTCAGGTAAAACCATTTCTTTATCCATGGCACTCTAGATCAATGATTCTCAACTGGGGGGCCCAGGAAACTCCCAAGGGGGCCTCAAGATGGCTTTAAATTATTTGATAAAGGACAAAACAAGCATTTAAACCAACTTAAAATCAAAATATTTCTTATGTTTTTTTCTTTGATGAACCAGGGTTCCAACTGTCTTGAAAAACCTTGATATATGAGGTAGCCTAATGTTAAAAGTATAATTTATAGACCTCGAAAAGTCCATGCAAAATCTAACAAAATCTCCAGGGGCATTTTTATAATGATTTTTTCTAGTTACACAAAACTCTTAAATATTTGATCAGGTGGAAATTGTAAAAACTAAAAATAAAGTTATGGGGCTTTTTGAGAAAGTTTGAGAACTAAAACACTGTCAACATCATCACGCTGGAAACACTGTCATTTAATGGTATTCAGTGTGGTTTAAGCAACCCCAGAATCAAGTGAAGTGATGGTGCAAATAAGTGACATTGAGCTTGAACAGGAGAGTGAGATACTCACTGTTTTCTGCTCTTTGATCATTCCCAGACTCAAAGTAATGAGCTGAGTTTGGCCTGAGAAAGTCTGTAAGCCTGAAAAACGACCACCAGGGGGTCTTGGAGCACACACATGAACACAAACACGCACACACACGCGGACAAACTTTCACTCACCCGCTCTCCAGACCGTGGCCTCTTCTTGGGTCGTGTGGGCAGCGTGTCCTCCTTTGGATTTGTGTCGATTGCCCAGTAGGAACCCTAGAAACAGGATAAAGTTGGAATATTAGCTCCAAAGCAAATCATAATATTCTAAAATAGTGGTCAACTTGAAGCCAGCCATGCAATAAAACTTTCATAAAAAGCCGAGCACGATAATCAGCAGGGTTTCAAGGAGAGAAACTTCAGTAATCAGATACTGTGCGCGTTTGCTGTCAAACATGTACAACTTTTAGTTCATCAAAGTTTCAGCGAGCTCATTTGTAAGCCCGTCACGTCTTGAGGACGTTCATGGAGCTATATGTTGAGGTGCGAAGAAGTTGGGTGTTTCGCTACAGCCGGTTCTTGCGCTCGCTTGCTCTCACTTCGCATTTCTCCTGAGCCTTGGCAAAGGCAGGTAAAATGTTAAGCCCCTCCTGAAGCCCCTCTTCCTCAGCCGCAGGTTTATCGATTGCTCCTGTTCAGGGCTGGACACAGAGGTGTTGGATTTCTGGTCAGGTCTGAGCTCTGATAATCAGGCAGAAAATAGCACACCTTGGTTTGGGGCTGCTGGTATCCAAGCACCCAAGACCCTGGCTGAATAATTTATCTTTGCATTCTTCCTGTTTAATTTATTTTTCAATAGTGCTGCTCTTCCCAAAAGCTAAAGGCAACTCTGGCTGGCAAGTTAGGCGAAAAGAAAAAGAAATTAACCTCCAGGCATGGGTTTTATTTTAAAATATTTCATATTATTTGGGATAAGATCTCAATTGTCCAGAGAGGGTGCGATCAAGACCTTTAAAATTACTTGTGCACAGCTCGCGCATGCACCTAAGCAAGGAGAATAATTGAAAATCACCAAAGGATTTGTCTAGACAGCATGCTTTAGGTTCCTCAAACGTTCGGCCTCCAAAGACATATTGATAAAATGATGTAAATTTCTGCATTTAAACAGCAATACAGCACAGGTTAGAAGCCATGGAATGGCAATGAGCAAAGCTCCAGCACCCGAACAGTTTTTCGCAGCATTCCTTCCTTAAGAAAATAACTCATTGTGTCTGTTTTAACACCTGGATGTTACATCAATTTGTTATTTAAGTGCGATGACAGCTCCAAAACAATCTGACCAATCACAAAGCTTGCAACCATTATCACACCTTGCTTTAACATGCCATTTTTTGGCCTTAGAAGCAGTGTACTAAAACCGGCCTGATGAAAGGAAGTGACATAATTAACATTAATCAAACGATAAACTAGGCATTGAAATTATAACATTAATGAATGCAGATTACTTTGTGGCAGTCACCCAAAGTCAGTGGGTTACAGCCATTATTTAAATCGCCACAATCTTCAATAAGAGCCTCATTTAATTTTAAGATTGTATGTGACATTTTTTAAGTTATGCATGTGTGTGTGTGTATTATAGAAATGCATAACTAACAATTTTAAAATGTATAATATAAATCTAATTCATTTATTTTTATGTTTATTTAATTAGAGAGAAGCATTTTGCTAAATATATGCACTTTATTACATATTCATTATATTTTTACTTAACCTGACAGTCACCATTTGAATGTTTATTATTTCAAAAAAACTAATTGCAGTAGAAACATAATTGTGTTATCAAAAAATAATAATAATTACGTTATAAAAAACTGCCTTATGTGCAATTTACATGTTTGTACAGTCTACAGCCAACATTATAGTAATGTACCAACAGACAGGGTTCCCTGTATAGTTTACAGCATTAGTTGAGATACATCGAATTGAATTGAGATCGGAACTGAACAGAAGCTTGTGAACAGAAATCCAATCAAATTGTGAAATTTGTGCCAAGACCCAGCCCTAATTTTTACTACTTACTAACTTACCACTGATTACCTGAAATCAGTATTCTCTGACATTCACAGAATAATTCATCATATTACACATTATCTATTGTATGCAAATTAACAAAGCGTACAACACTTGAGCTGAGAGGTGCGCTAGCGTGAGTCATGCGAAAGGGTCTTAAGTTTCTTTATATATTCTAATGTAGCATAAGTATCCTAACAATGTTAAATGTTACAGATAGTGAGTGCTTCCACACAACAAACAGACTAGATAAGTACAGCTACTTTCCAACAAATCGTTTAACAAACACGATCTTCTTCACCCTGCATCGCTATTTCCGTATTATATTCCACCGTTAAACATCAGAGTTCATAACATGCAGGGCAATCTCACGGTTTAAACACCCTAATGTTCATGATTTTAATTTAAATCATCATGTTCCTGTAGTTGATGCAGTGATGATGAAGGACAGCTGAAGGTGACAGAATGCTGGCAGTCTGTTACACCTAGCAGATGTAATTGAAATTAAAACTACTGCAAGACACTTTCACTGTGGAAGGGGAGGCAGAGTATCATTCCTTTTAATTAGCAGAAAAATCTTGAAAAACTGGAAGCCCTTGGGGGGGGAGTATCTGTAGGCTCCAACACAACACTAGAGAGAAAGCAACGTTTAAAGAAATCCATGAAAAGACAGTTTACATGAATCTGAAACAGGGCAATACAATATTACTGTGTTAATGTTACTTCTTTTGATAATGAACTCAGCTGAGCACCAAAATTAACAGACGATAATGCAATCAACTAAAGAACATTAACAGTCTCCAAAAGAAGTATTAAAAGGATAGTTCACCTAAAAATTTAAATTGTCATCATTATTCAAAAAAAGAAAATAAGAAAAAAAAGAAAGAAACAAAACATTTTACATGTATTCATATAGTAGACATTTTATCCAAAACCACAAACAAATGAAGAAGATATACTATATTCTAGCGTTCAAAAGTTTGGGGTTGCTATGATTTATCAAATAAATGAATACTTTAATTCAGCAAGGACGCATTAAATTGATCAAAAATATCAATTAAAATATTTATAATGTTACAAACTATTTTGATTTTAAGTAAATACTGTTGCTTTTTTATTCATCAAAGAATCTAGTTTTCAGCATTATAATAATATTAAGTAATGTTTCTTGAACACCAAATCAGCATGATTTCTGAAGTATCACGTGACACTAAAGATGGGAATAATGGCTCTTATGCTCACAGAGCTTACATTTATTTGATCAAAAATAAAGTCAAAATTATTGTGAAAAATAGCTGCTGTGTTTGTGATGGTTTAATGGTAACCGACTATCTAATTTCTAATCTGGTCTCTAATGGAAATAATCAGTTCGACACAGTCTTAACGCAGACTAGACCTCCCTGACCAGAAGTCTACTCAAGGGCAAACAAGATTGTATCCTCCCCAAAGTTCGGGCATCCTCATTCTCAGCAGCTTCACAAAAGTGAAGTGAACAATCGTTTTTGCCATCTCTGAGAAACACGCCTCAGTTACTATCTCGCATAAACAGCAGGGTCCATATTCCTGCCGTATTACAATATTGATGGAACATATCAAGAGAGCCCTTTGCAGCTTTGAAGTTCTCCTTCCAGGGGGGAGGGCTGTGTGGAAGGAGGCAAATTCCAAATTGAACATTAGGGATGCAAGCATGTTGGCCGTGCATTCGGAATAGAATCCATCCAGCGATAGATTATTTTGTATTTAGTGGAGCACATCCCAGGAGTGTCAATATCAGAGGATTACACCAAAACATGAAATTAGCATTCAGTCCCCATCCCCTGCATGCCTCGGCTCTTCTCTTTATGTCGCGCTGTGAGCGTATGTGCGTGAATGTGCTCGCACAAGATGGCTGAGGATACAGAGAAATGTGCAAGCGTTTGTGGCAGAGGTACTATGTGGAGGAAAAAAACAGGTTAACTGTGTCCATCCAAGTTGTATGATGAGCATATATATATATATATATATATATATATGGTGTTATATATATATATATATGGTGTATGTATGTATGTCTCTCTGCACTCTGGCCAACACATGAATTTGTTTGGGTTGTTTTAGCTCAGACAGGCCGGGGTAACGGCATGCTGACTGAGGGGAAGCAGGTGGTGGTCTCCCCCTCTCGTGCAGGAAGTGCCGGGGCTGAAGTGCTTTCTCCTCTACCCGGGAGAGCTCCGGAGAGCACTTTTAAAACATTACTGCGAGTGCTCGCTCTCATCTATTTTCACAAGGATACGTATGCATTTTTAACGGCTGAATCTGCTCTGGTAGAGGCATTTTGTATTTAGAGAATGTACAAAACATTTCTGAATAAAACAGAACTACATATGGAGGTAAGAAGAGAACGCTTACCTTTCCTGGGTCATCTTTGGAGCGAGGCACTTTAAGAAAACACTTGTTCAACGAGAGATTGTGCCGTATTGAGTTCTGTAGGAGGAAAGAGAGACAGAGAAGTGTTTAGGTTGTTTATAGGTTAATGAGACTCCCGCATGATATTACACTATAATAGTACCTAAAACCCACATTAACATGCAGCCTATAGCGCGCTGTCAGACAGTGCTGTAGCAATCGCGGGTGTGTGGGGTCCCTGCAAATAAGAGAATATGAATAAAACACTGGGGTATTATAACCCAGAGTCTGCGTCATCTTTTCAGTGCTATGCAAAGCAACCAGGCCAGAAAAATATATTAAAGAGATTCATCTTGTTGCAGACGACAGCCTCAAAAAAAAAAGAAGAGAAGGACGGTAAGGATGATTGCAGAATATTGAGACTCCTAAACTCAATAATAAATACCCCTGACTTAACTATTTTTAACGACCCAGAGATTTTTCATAACTTCTGTGATTCCCACACATTCAAATGCACTGAAACTGATGTGACAAAAAAACCTTGATAATTCCCATACATGAATGATGTCCTGAGGTTAATTAAAAAAAAAGAGCGAAAGATCCAGTTTAACAGCATAGTAATTAATTAATCATCCTGATCCTCAGAGAGAAATGAATTATGCAAATAATTTTTTTTAAACTTACACAATTCTTTAATGAGCAAAAGGTATTTTTTTAGCATGTGAGGGATGAATCAGCAGGAGGCAGCTTAAACGCACATCATGCCTTAATGCTCGGCGCGTTCCAGCTGGAGCTTAGCCAGCCACTTGGCTTAAGACACTAGAAACGCACAGGTTTTGAAATCATTTGACCAAATTGTATTGACAGATGGGTGTGATATAAAAGCTCTGGGATCTTCGCATGTGCTGGTCTGGTGTGGAACGCGAGAGAAGCGCTCAGAGAGGCAATTAGATGAAAATACTAAGCAAACACAATCCATGTTAATATGTGATGTATTTGTATAAGAGAACAACCGCATAACATCTAATGAGGGCAATAACGGGCCATTTCCACTGGGCCGATCAGGGTTGATTGCAGGTGTGTGCTGGATGTTTAACAGTGGACCGAAGGGAGTCTCCGACTGCATCAGCAGTACCGAAACCATTAGACGCAATAAAGGTGAGCTCTGCAGGACAGCTGAACCTGAGTCCAAGAGATGCACACACACAAAAAAAGGCAGGTCAGAGCAGTTACTGTGTAACCCGCTGCTGACGTATCTACGTATCTGTCCACAGACCCTAATCTTGTAGCGCATTAAAACTTTAGCACCCACAGCAACTCTCCACACTGCAATATCTGAGGTTAGTCAGGCAGACAGCGTCATGGTCTCTCTGGAAAAAAACAAACACAATGTCAACTACTTAAGCCTGCTCTGCAATAGCGATGTGCACTTTGGGCATTTTGAATGCTTGGGTACTCAAAAGATATAACAGAAGAGTACTTGAGGTCCGAGAGGGCAGATAAAGAGAGATCTTTTTATTATAATAAATGTGCATCAGACTGTCATGCTACAACTCATGGGTTTTGCAATCAACACAGGTTTCCAACATCTTTGATGAAAAGAAACGGATCAGTTTCTTGTTCAAAGTAACAATTCTGTGACAAACTTCTATCAGGTTAGGTTGCGACCAGCTAAGTGGACATGCAGGTCAGATAGGCAGGTATCTTTCCCTGGCTGTCACGTTCTTGCTTTTGTCCTCCACTGCTTTAACTTTCCTCTCCCTCTCTCTTCACAGTCTCTCCCTCTTTCTCTGCTGGGGGCCAGAGGGTTCAAGGCTGGCTCAGCAGGGCTCCTGCAGACAGACACGGCTAATAAGCACTACTGCACCAGTCCAGTCTGTCTCCAACTCTCTATCAGGGGAACTAACCAGGAGAGCCGCAGGGCCAGCTGCCATTCTGACACACTGAGTTTGTGTGTGTGTGTGTGAGAGAGAGAGAAAAAGAAAGAGAAAAAGAATGACCCAAGAGAAAGTCAGAGTGTGACAGCTTATGTGTAGAAGCCAACTCTGTGTTTATCAGATGGATCATGTATAGTGAAAGCTACCAAATCTAATGCATGTAACACATTCAAAAATTTAAATAAGTTAAAAAACAAAACACGGTTACCTTTCAAAATATAATCAATTTCAAAAGGATACAAATTAGGTTCCATCCTAAATGTTTTTTTTCTCCTCACAATATAGAAGTTAAATAGGTTGTGAATGCTATTTTGTGTTTAAGACATATTATACATGATGGCATGAAGTGCTACTGTGTCTTACATCTTTGCACACTTAAGGTAGTACATTTACTTGTCTAAATTCAGCAGATACCTGCTTGTCAGTGAGCTATATCAGACACACACTCATCTTTTTTGACCCTGCTTTCAACCTGGAAATTGAGTTTTACTTTTTAATGAGTTACCAAACCGGTGTCTGCCTTAGATATCACTACATGTTAGCAAACATGCCATTTCTGACAGCATCTTAACATGCACATTGCTGGTGTAAAACCAAAGGTCGACAGGTCACTAACAGACATAACAAATTACTTACAGAGCATAGAAATATTCCAGATCTCATAAAATGATGTGCAGCTAACACTGCTGATTCTGAATATCTTATCCTTGATTGCATAGATTACAGCTGGAGCTCAGAAGCACCGCAGTGCAGTGAAGTGATGAAGAGGAGGAAGAGAGCTGTAGGAGTCATCGAGGATGAGGAGCTACAATAAGAGGGTCAGACACTGAGCTCTGTGGGAGGGCCTGTCCATTACCGTCTCTGTGGGCTGAGATATACCTGCGTTTCACAGCGGGAACGCTCTCTGGTAACCCCCCGCACAAACTCGCACGTTGACAGTTAGTGCACCCATCCGCCCACTCACCCCTGGCCTCTCGCCCACCTCTTCCAACACGACAGAAGGGCAGGCGGGGGAAAGTGGGTCAGACTGACCTCCTCGTCCCGAGTATCAAGCGCTCAGCGTGAGTCAAAGGGACAGGCCATGTCGCAGCGGAGTTCTTCATCAAGGACATACCGCAGTTCCATGCCTTCTCGGCCCAGGGAGCCCAGGTTACAACAGAAACATCCCATCAGTGCCCGCAAATCCAGCCTGACATCCTCACTCTACATACAGCGACACAGAGGAAGATTTTAAATTATGGCAGGGTTGGCCAAGAAACTGATGATGACTTGATCACAAGATAAAACACAAGATTTTAATGTCTGAAGGTCTCAATGTAAAGGGTCTCTATATGGCAAAGCAGAAATACACATTCAATTCACGTCAGGCTATTATTGTGCTGTAACGGAAAAGTATATACACAATACATTACAAGCAGTATGCTTAATGCACCAATTAATTAATTCCAGCCCATATAAAAAAAATGTCATATTTTTACCTTTTATGAACAGATTCTACTAAAAATAATATTATCCGCAGAATTTATCACAGAAATAATAATCTTCATTTCATTATTATGGGATGTCATATATAGAGTTTGCATTGGTTCCTAAAGAAACATTTAAAAATACAATTTGATGTGTAATGACTCGATACAAATCATGATACTGAACTCACAATACGATACTATAGCGATATTTTAAGCCAAAATAATATTTTTTATTTATTTATTTTTTATTAAAATAATATTACAAATTATTCACAATTGCACCCAAAAATATTTCCCCATTGCATTATTGTACATTATATTCAACATTATATATAGTAGTTCAATGTAGTAATGATTAGTTTATCTAAAACATTTAATTCTGCATTTACTGGCATGTTGTTTTCGAGCGTCACACAAGCATTGGAATGTCCGTGTTTATTTCAGTATATGTTATAAATCTGTTCATCATATAAAGCCATTGTGTCTAAGACTCTCAACAAACAAAATAACCAGGTATAATGTGATGTGATATATGTGTATGACCTAAACATGAATTGATAATTTGGGGGCATGTGTCTAGCCACCAATCAAAATAATTTTTAGCACAATGCTTCATTATGCGAGAGGTGTGAAGAAAAAAAAAAGAGCAAGGTTGATCGAGTGAGACAGAAAGGAGTGTTTCAATACTCCAGGGCATGGAGGACATCCCAAACACAGCCTGGAATTCCCACCATTCCTCCTTATATGCTGCGTGTCTTTTCGGTCCAGTACCCGTTCCCAGTTCCACTGTATTTTATATCTTTTCTCTCCAATGCTTTCAATATCTTTGACATATGGACTTATCCGCAAAACACGTTCAAGTTCCCTCAAACACAGCAGTTCCTGACAAGCCTTTTGCAAACACAGAGACTTACACAGGCATTTCTTAAGTTTACAATATCTCTACACACGTTAGGGAATGTAGCACTTTGGCAGACTGTGTTTGTAGTGGGTGTGGGATGATGCTGGAGCAGTATTTCTTTTTTCACGTGTGTGGTGAGAGGAGGCACAAACGGTGCCCTTAACCAGACCCAAGGTGGAACGCACCATCCAGCTCGCAGACTGGTCCTAAACCTGCGAAAATATCCCCCACCTTTGACAGACAAACCATGCGACTGCAGCCTGGGACTGGATGCAGTGAGGTTTTAATCCACTTAGAGCATGGAGAATCCCTCACCCTCGGCCACAGCGATGAGGACAGCATGACTGAGTGTGAGAGAGGCAGGAGCTGATAAGGTGCTAAGATGTGGGTGCCTCTTGTTAAATGAATAAGAGGAAGGCATCACACTGGAGCTGTACCTGAAGTCTGGCTCTGTTTAAACCTGGTATTAACACGTCTCAGGTGATCCTAGCACAAAAAAGCCACAGAATACAAGAAATATAAAAAAATCACAACACTGACTGGCATACAAAATTAGTTACGCAAGTCTCGTGTAAAGGTATGGACTTTCCAAAATGTTTCAATAGGTTATTCTCACATGACAAAATACTGTAAAAGGTTCATTGTTAGTTCAAGATACGCATGCACTAACAATTATTACCAAATTGAACCTTACTGTACACAGTGTTACCAATATGGATATACTTATACTGTAAATCAACATTTTAAATTGCAACCCCCCAAAATGCAAGT